AGACAGAAGCTGCTGCCACCCCTCACTGCTGCCTCTTTATCAGAGGCTGCAAAGCAGGCTGGTAGGCAGCTGGTCCATGTGGGGATCTGTTTTTTAAACTGTCTACCCACGTAGACATACTCCTGCCTGGCACCCCATGCTAGTGCCTCTGATACAGAGGCAGCAGCGCGGGTGTTGGGGGGTCCCCAGGAATGGGACCAAGAGCACACTGGATGCTGGCCTCTCCCCTGGGGACTATAAAATAGTTGATAACCAACAGGATTTCATGACTCAACTATTCAATTAACTGATATCTAGCACACTAGCTGATATACAACCAACCTGTGCAGTTCCTTGTTAGGGTGTTGTGAAGGCCAGGACTGTTCAAAAACAGAGCTAGATAAATTCATGTAGGATAGGTCCATCAATAGCGATTAGCCAGGATGGGCAGAGATGGTGTTTGTCAGAAACTGGGAATGGGTGACAAGGGCTGGATCACTTGATGATTACCTGTTTTGTTCATTCCCTTGGGGCACCTGGAACTGGCCACTGTCAGAAGACAATATACTCGACTAGATGGACCTTTGATCTGACCCAGTATGGCTGTTCTTATGTGATGTTGACTTCTACCCATCACCCATGTTAAACTTGGAGACCCATGTTAAACTTGGAGCAGCATGGTGACAGTTTTTTGGAGGTGGGGAATTTCTTGCAGCTCTCCCTGATGTGGAACATTATAGTAGAAATGCAGGCAGCTAGCCCAGATCCCCCATACTTTTGGGGGCCCTGTGGAGGTCACCTCAACCATCTTAGGGATGGGAGTGACCAGGGAATTATGGGGACCTAGCATGGCAGCAGCAGGGGTTGCTCCCTCACTCACAACAGTAGGAGTTGGAGCAGCCCAACAGCCTACTCCACTCCATCTTGCCACCTTCTTGCAGCCCGCTGCTCCCCATAGCAGCAGGAAGCAGACACCTGTAGCCCCAGGGTGGTGAGTAGGGGGAAAGATGACCCCTGCTGCTGCACACCAGGACCCCATAATCCTCCTGGGCTATGCTGGTCAGGGGGCAAGGGCAGGGCAGAGATGGGAGATGTGACGGAGGGTGCTGCCTCGGGCCCTCTCAGGATGGCCCTACAGAGATGGAGGAAGAGGCAAGTGTACATTGAAGAGGAGAGGGGAGTTGAGAGACATATTTTATATTAACAATAACCTAACAACAGGGGTTTTTAAAGCTGTACTTCTGCCCATTTTTTGCATCTTTGTATGTGTGAAGAAGAAAAGAAAGCCAAGCTTTTTCCTATGTCTTTTACATTAGCTATTTAGACCCTGTCTACATTGAAATTAGGGAGCAAAGGCAGAATAGGGGGGCGAAGCAGGAGCCAATGCTGGGGTGAGCTGGCTTAAAAGCTTGTTCCCCCCAAGCACCATCTCCGCAGGGGGAGGGAGGAGAAGGGGAAGAGGAGGCAGAAGCACAGAGGTCCCAAAGCAGGTGCCCATTCTGGAAGCTGTCCCCGCTGCGACTCTGCATTTTAAATGTAATAAGAGTTGCTCTGCATTTTAAATGTAATAAGATGTGCTCCTTCGCACATCTCCCTTTAGGTTTAAGCCAAGTCCTATATTATATGCTATAAATAACAGAGCAGTGTTGATCTGAAACAACATGTTAGAAATAATTTTTTTTATTAAGCACCAGCTTAACATTATTTGCGTACGGTCTTTAATTATTAAGTTCTGTCTTTCCCCCCGCAGACTGATAGCTTTTTCTCATAAGCACTTATTCTTCCTTGATATAAAATGTACATGAAACAAAGGCAAAATATTTTATACATCTTGCTGCAAAATGCTTAACATTGTGACTGTATCTCTTTGCCTTTTCATTGCCCAGGTCCGGACAGACTCTTATTCATGAACTGTCTCTTCACGAAGCAGATCCACCACTAAGGGAAAGAAATACAGTGACATCAGAAGATATACTGTAGCAATTTCCAGGTAAGAAGTTTGAGGCAAAACAGGATTTAAAATCAACTTTGGTGCAATAGACCTGCATTAAAGTTACACCTCCAATTTTCTTCACTGATTTCATCTGGAATTTTAAATGTGCAAGGAAGGCTGGATTAGACCCAAAGCATGGATTAAATCAATATACTGTAGTACAAGGTCACAGTAACAGATTCATATTAAGGCTAACATGATAATTCCAATCTAAGCTTTTACTTTCCATCACTTATAAAAAAGCATATTAAGAGTCTCATTCCTGATCCCAATCCAACTTTTTTTGTTTTACAAAACATTTAAAAAGTAATGTCAGCCACTTCTCAATTAAGCAAATATAAAGAAAACCCCCACAGAAGAGCTATTTCAAAATTTCTTCTCTCCTGACTCAAAACCAGATTAATTCGTGACTGTGGCTATGGCATGTGGCTTGAGTCCTCTGTAATCTGTAGTCAGTATTTCTGAAAAATAAATTGGCTTAATAATTGTAAAGGTTATAAGAGGTGCACTTTATATATCTTGCTTATACGCAAATGTCTGCCAAGCCGCTCAGAAACTGTTGTATCAATTAGCTAGTTTGCTATTCATATTGATAACGAAGGATTTTTCCACGTAGGAGTGATCACGAGAGCCAAATGGAATGATGCTGAGAACCCTAGATGCCTACAGGGAATCGAGTGTTCTAGCTTCCAGGAGGTGCTCATCACTTCACAGGATTGGACCACAAGTGGAGACTGTTACATCCTTACTCAGCCTAAATTGGCATTTGCTGCCATATCACATTGCTTTTCCCTCATGAAAACCGTAAGTCTCATGATTCTTTTTTACTAGTTCCTCCCCATCTCTCTCCCTGCTGTTTTGCCTTTTTCCCCCTTGTTGCTATACTCCTACTGCATTCCATGACACAAAAGAGCATTGCATAACCATCCTTTCAACTCCTTGAGCTACATCTTATAAACTTTATAAAGAGCAAACCAAGCCAAGTTTAACATTATTTCTGGAGTTGACATTTTAAAGAAGCAGCATTCCTCAAGCACCTACTAGTCAGAAAAGAAACACTGCCTGTAATTAGGATAAAAAATAACCCATTCACTGAGAATGGCATCTTACCTTGCTAGGCTTGTCATTTTGGGGATCAAACACCTTTTCACAAAGCCTAAGACCTGTTTCTTGTCTCAGCTGTTGCAAGTAGGCCCTCATCACCTCTAAATCAGAGCAGATACCAATACAGATTGAAATACAGAGTTAAAATCAGGTCAGATTCGATCCAGGCAGCTACCCCCCTGTGTGATCGTTGGCAAATTTCTTAGGGTGGGATCCACCAGGTATTTAGGCACTGCAACACTGAACATGGTGGTGCCTAGAAAACCACAGGAACAACACTGCAATCCAAAAAGCCTGAGTTAGGCACCTACACTCCCTACAGAATGAACAGTGAGAGAAAGGAATCTAACTAATGTTATCCACAACAGGCAACATGCTAAGCAGGGAGCCACCTAAGCTAGTCAATGGGAAAGGCCAACTTGAGAGGTGTATGCTAAAACCTGCCTCTCTCTCAGGTGTTAAAGTCTTGGCTGTAAGTTAGAACTAGGACTGCTGGCAATCCATAAACCAGGAGGAAGTTTGGCAGTTAGTCACCTACATTGCATGAAGGATACAAAACAAGATAACCAGCAGTTTGGGGTGGGGTGGGGGGTCTGGAAACTTCCTCTGTAACTGTTAGTCTAGTGATTAGGACATTCATCAGTTCAAATTCCTTCTCCCCCTTAGAAGGAGGTGTGGACTTCAACCACATTCTGGGTGAGTACTCTGTCCACTAGGCTAACAATTAGATGGGAGCTCTTCCTTCTCCTCCTCCAACCTCAGCTACTTTGTGTGAACTCACCTTGGGGTCCTGATCTGGTAGCAGTGCTCAAAAGCGTCCTACCAGACGAGTCTCCCATATGAGATACCAGCCAAATGCCTATCTTTCCCATTTTTTAAATCACTCAGAGGCTTTGGCATCCAGACGCCTATCATGAGGCAATAATGCACCTGCTCAGGCGTGAGTGCCTTGAGAGAGGATGCAATGAATATGGCTTGAGAAAAAAGGGGGAAAAAATTAAGGCTGGTCTACACTGAAAAAGCTGCAGTGCTGCAGCTGTTTCGCTTTAGCAGAGATGCTACTACACTGACAGAACAGCTTCTCCTGTCCGCGTAGAAGGTGATAGCTATGCTGATGGGAGTTAGTCAACATAGTGCTTTCTACATCTTGGATTAGGTAGGTACACACTGTGTTGCTCAAGAGTGTGGATTTTTCATGAGCAATATAGATATACTGATGTAAGTCGATAGAACAGACCTGGCCTTCGGTGGCAGCAGTATGGGGTGGCAAGAAGCTCCCCAGGAGCCGGTGTGTGCAGGGAGCCACCTTTTAAGATGGCTTCCTGCACATACTGTCAGCCTGTGTGTAACTGTAAACGTTAACCAATGAGCCCAAACTCATCGGTTAACCATGTTCACAGTTACATTTTTACATTTTTACATCCCTAATTATTACACCTTGCTTTTCTGTTGTTATTAAGTTTCCATTACAATCTTAATTGAAGGCCATTTATGTGACCTTTGTAAGTGTATCCTTAGCCAGACTCTGAATGCTATCAATTATTGCTCTTCTGCTTTGCTTCGTTGAATTAGAACCAAAATGCATAGAAGGGAGCATGACCACATTTAATCACTCTCTGACTGCAAGAGTAAATCTGCTCAATTTACAAGTGAAAAAGGTAACTCAACCTGGGATTTTTGCACTTTATGCATGAGTAGTAAAGATTTTACAGGTCATTTCCAGCCTGTAGTTACACCTCTGCATGTCTATGGTCTTCTGTGGAACTATCCAAGCATAAGAGTGACAAGGGGGGAGAGGCAGGATCTTTTGTTGGACCAACTTTTGTTTGATTATACTGACCCAAAGAGCTCTCTCTGAGTTTGAAAGCTTGTCTCTCTCATTAAAAAAAAAGTTGGTCCAATAAATGATATGATTTCAGCCATCTTGTCTCTCTAATATCCTGGGACCAACACTGCATAAGAGCAGGATGTAGCCCTATAAATGGAATTTAGCTAGCTATTCAGTGACGTGAGACCTAGAATAGAATCTGGCTCCCACTCTCTTGACTCTACAGGGCTAGAAGAATTGAAAAGTAGCACAGCCTATTTTTGTTCCTAAACTCGGCAGACTTGAATCTAGGTACATACAGGAGGCAGAACCATCAACTAAGAAGGTACTTTTTTATATGGTCATGTTTTTGGCCCTAGCTACAAAATTAATCCAGGCTGTGAACTGCAAGCCAAAGCATGGCTTTAAGAGAAACACGGCTACTTTTATTCTTACCCTCCTCCTGTTTGTTGCCAGGTCTGGCGTAGAGGGCATTGAGTGGAAAGCCTGGCTCGCCAGGGATTGGGAAGTTAGTGATTCCTAATGTGTACATTTCCTTCTCTCCTTGGCCTTTTGAATTGCACTGGAAGAATCAAACAAGAGAGATCATTCCCAGGACAAAAACAAAGCACATCCAAAAGCTGGTGCAGCCCAAACGTTATATTGATACATATCATGGCTTCTCTGGTAGGAGAAAGTACTGAAGAGTCCTTATGTATTTATCTAATTAAATGAGAAAAGTCTTTACAGTACTGTATCCACAGCACCTGTACCTTTGATCTTATGCATATTTTAGAAATGTGCATCTGTCTAACTGTACAAGAACTCCTCCTACAGTAATAGTTAGGATTACCACATTTGGTATGCCACTTCCTCTTATCATAACTTAAAGCAAGGTCAGGGTTTGGTTGTGCCAAGACAGTGGGATATGCATGGAATTAGATTGTTTCTCATAAAATGGAAAGGGAAGGGTTTGGTGGGAGGGAATTATACTGTAGAGTGATCACGATGGGGACTGGGGCAGCTATAATCCCACTGGGCCAAGCAGGGGGCAAGGGTGGAGAAAGGGACAGCTGTCTACTATATACAGGCGACCCTTGTGACTCGCTGAATTGCTATTCACAATTTTGTATATTCGCAGATCTCCCCATCCTGAAGCCCCACCCCTTCCCACCACTTTGCCCTCTCTCCCTGGCCAGGGGGCAGGGACGGACTTGGTGGGGGCCTGTTGCAGGTGGCAGCAGTGGTCAGTACTCCCACTGCACTCACCATGGGGGGCGGGAGCTGTGGGGAAACAGACCACTCTCTGCTTCCTCCTGCCCCCCCGTATTCACAGATTTTGCCATTCTCAGTGATGTCAGGAATCTTTCTACCACAGATGGCAAAGGTTTCCTGTATTTCAGAAAGTTTGTCTGTGTATCTTTTTTTCTGAGTGTCAGTTACCCAGCCAGGGATACATGCACCCCTCCCCTTGTTGTGCTCACTGCAGCTGCCATGGAAAGGCTCTTCTCACCTGGCCCCAAGCTGCAGCAGCAAAAGAGGTTGTCCTCTCCCCCCAAAGCAGTTTGCATACTGAACCCCTCAGCCCCAGACCCACCCCCGAGTAATGATTTAAATGAAGAAAAACAATGTATTTGATTTAAGGACCCAAGCAGTGCTGGGTAAATCTTCTAATTCTATGGAAGAAGCTTTCTGGAACATCTGTGGCTCTGACAGTTGAGACTGATAATTGGTGTACATGCAGTTTTTGTATTCATAATTATTTTGATTGGGGAATGTGTGTTTTGTTTTAAACACAAACCCTAATCTGTGCAGCTGAAAGCATGGACAAAGTTATACTGGAATAAAAGCACCCTAAACCAATATAGCTTATTTCCCTTCCTGTACATGAACAGCTATATGGGAGTAAGCACACTTATATCAGTATACTTGGATCCACTCTTCCGGCTTAAACCCTTTAGCTGAAGTATTATAATTAAAGCAGTACAACTTTTGTGCAGACAAGCCTTAAAATGTAATAAAATGGTCAAATTTTTCTTTAGACATGTGAATGGATAACCCACACAAGCTTTAACAGCATTGTTCTGAGATATAATCAAAGGCCAAATGAGATACTCATCAGGAAGAGAATGTTAAAGAGATGAGATATTTCAGCCAGGGAAAGATTACAGTGAGCTTGAATTGGATGCTTTCAGATATTGGGAGTGGGTGGGGAGCAGATGATGTAAATGTTGGTAGAGGCTAAGGACTAACAGTGATAATTTAGTTAGGTAGGAAGGAAAAGAGGCAAGATGCAGAGAGGCCAGAAAGGTGAAATTCTACCAGAAAATGGGGGCAGAAAAAAAAATTAAAAATAAAATAAAGGTTTATAGTGGAAATGCTGAAAGGAGCTAAAATCACAGCAGTGATGTCTGTCCCTACTATAAACATACTGTCCATGTGAGAATATGACCCAAGAATTATGAACAGTGCAGGGGGATAGAGGAACACAGTACTCAGTGTCAGAAATTTTTGCCACTCACTCACTATGGCCTTGGGCACATCACTTACCCCCTTTTTACCAAGAGATTAAAACTTAACCACATCAGAAATAGGGATGTGAAGAACTAGTCTAGTATCAAATAAGCAAATGTTTATCGGAGAGTCAACAAGCCAGTCGACTAGTTGCATCCCCCCATTTTTTGCCTCTTTCAGAAATAGGCAGCAAGGGGGCGGAAAAAGAAGGAAGGGGTACTTCAAAGCGGCAGCACCACTTGCAGTCTGGAGCCAGTCCTTGGGCTCCATGTGGCACTGCTGTTTTGAAATGCCACATGCAGCCCGGGGCCAACCAGGGTTTCCCCAGGCTGAATGCAACATTACAAAGTGGAGCCTAGGTCAGCTGGGGACTCCCCCACTGACCCTGGGTTTGGTGCAGCACTGCCACTTTGAAACACTGCGGGGAGCCTGGCGTCAGGCTCCTCACAGCATTTCAAAGAGGCAGCGCCCTGTGGAGGCCTGGATCTGTTGGGGATTCCACAGCTGACCCCGGGCTCTGTGCAGCACTGCCGCTTTGAAATGCCACAGGAAGCCCAGCAGCAGGCTGCATGTGGCATTTCAAAGCAGCAGTGCCGTGTGGAGCCCACGGTCAGCAGGGGAGTCCTCAGGTGACCTCGGCTCCGTGCGGCACTTTCGCCTTTGAAATGTAACAACAGTCCTAGGGCTGTTGCTACACTTCAAAGGCAGAGGCACCCTATCGACTAATCATATAGTCGATGCAAAATGTATCAACTATTCAATTAGTCGACATTTAACATCCCTAATCAGAAATAAGGTGAGAGAGCCCATTAGAGTGTTTGAAGCATTACATTCTAAGCAACAGCATTTTTGCCTGTGTTTTCACACTGTCTTAGACAAACGAGCAGAACTGACATTTTTATTGCCATTTATTGTACTTTCTTCCTTCAACTTAAATTAAATTAAATTTTATTACCTTTTGCAGCTTCTTTAAGCATTCAGAAATATAGATAGATATGTAGATCAATGTTCTGTCAGCCTCATTCTGTCAAATAAAAGGAAGCAGAAGCCATTTGCTATTGTTAGATTTTACACCTGCTGACAAAGCTATCACCTTTTTAGTCTATGGTCTCTCACAAAAGAGATGCGTTGACAGCATAGAAGACACATATATATAGAGAGAGAGAGAGAGAGAGAGAGAGAGAGAGAGAAAAATAAAAATTCTTGGAAGCTTGAAGCTTATTGCAGTGAAGTAATTCTACAATTCAACAGGGTACAAGATTCTAATAACTGTGCACAGGTTTTAATATCTTAAATCTTCATTTCTTACCTTAATTTCATAATTCTTGAAGAAGACATTTGCTTTGAAGTAGTAGATGGCTTCAGAGAGAGAGAGAGAGAGAGAGAGAGAAAAATAAAAATTCTTGGAAGCTTGAAGCTTATTGCAGTGAAGTAATTCTACAATTCAACAGGGTACAAGATTCTAATAACTGTGCACAGGTTTTAATATCTTAAATCTTCATTTCTTACCTTAATTTCATAATTCTTGAAGAAGACATTTGCTTTGAAGTAGTAGATGGCTTCATCTATAATATCGGTGTCCTTTGCTAGCAAGAAAGGTAGAAAATGGGAAAATTAGGCAGAACTTAAAGATAACATCACTAGAATTTAAATGGAAACAGAGGAGTGATGTTTGCTAAGACTGACAGTAAATAGTAGCATGATCTTCCATTTCACTCACTTGCAAAAACAATAACTCTTCCCAAAAACAAAGCCACAGAGGTTTTGTACTAATTCCCAGCAAAGATTTAATAGGAAAATAAGTGTTATAGCAGTATCCCATATGACCACAGCTTCGTTACTTACACATGGCAGCACGTACTACAAGACACTTACTGTAAGATGAGGTATCAATTAATTCAAGCTTTATGCTTGCCAAAGTAAATTTTACTATCAAGCAGCTTTGATTTTTAATATAATAATTGTTCACTCCATTATGGAGTGGAGCCATTGAATAGAGATGTAATCCTGCAGAGTAGTCATGAGGCATTGTGAAAGACTTATCAGGAGAATAAGTACTGAAGTAGTATCTAACTACTATAAAGGGTTATATTGAATCTTACCACTATTTTAAAACCTATTGAAACCCGCAATTCAAAGACCACAGTGAATCTTAATAGTTGCATGATGCCCCAGGAACTAGCCTGACTATACAACAAGGCACCTTAAAGACTAACAGATTTATTTGGGCATAAGCTTTTATGGGTTGACTCCAATGCTTCTGATGAAGCGGGTTTTACCCATGAAAGCTTAATGCCCAAATAAAACAGTTAGTCTTTAACATGTCACAGGAATTCTCGTTGTTTTTGCAGATACAGATTTATCACAGTTACCCTTTTGAACCTGACAATAGTGAATTTAGGCTGAATTAAAAACAAAAAACACACACACACACAAATCAAAAGATTACGGAATTTAAACTAGAACAAGGTCTTCTGGAGGCATCAAAGAGAAAACAAACCAAATGTGTTCATCACTGAAGACACACTGGAAAAATAGCACATTATTTATTGTGGTAGCACTCGGAAGCCCCAGTCAAGATCAGGACAAATGACTGATCACACATTGTTCATTCTGCTTGCATGTTATAGCCCTTCCCACTGTCCTTCATCTGTCCTGTCTGTTTAGACTGCCAGCTCTTCGGGACTGAATTTGGGATTTGTGTCTAGCACTATGGAGCCCTAATTTTGACTGGTCCCTAGTCACTACTGTAATAAACATGGATTAATAATAATGGCTCCATTCCACTAGATCCATGGTGTCCAACAAGACATGATTCAGAGTTTACATGCTAAGGCTGCAATCCCACCATTGGGTCTGCACAAGGAGACCTTTGCACTTCATGGAAAGCCAATTAAAATCAATGGGGCTCCATGTGAAACCATGTGGATTCAATTACAAGACTAGTGTCTTGGATTAAAAGTGACATACGAAGACTCAAGATGATAAAATGACTAACAAAAGCAAGGGTTACATACAGATTATTATTCTAAGGTGGATAGAACAACTCCCAAAGGGAGAAGGAGGAGAAACCAAGATAGAGTGAAAAGAAACAAAACAATTCAGAAGCAACAACACTACAGATAATTTTGTACAAGAGCTATAGAAAGGGGGTGACTATCACAAGACAGGACTGAGTAGAGTTTGGAGTCAGCTGTTGGTTCAAGGCACTGGCATAAATTTTAAACAGCAGTTGAGAAGGACACATTATACAAATTAGATCAGAGGATTCTTCTTCAGGAAAAAGCATTCAGAGGCTTGTATTGGGAAGGGTAAATGTTCCGGATAGATGGCACAGCAGAAGGCAAAAGAAACCCCCAATCCAACAGCATTAATAGCCATCTGAAAGTCAACTTCCTCTATTACCAGGAAGTACCCATTTCTAATCTGTCCCTTTTCTCCTCAGTTTGAAAACCATACACACACACACAAAATCAAAAGCCTCAAGTAGATACAGTTTATATAAAGTGTCCTATAACCATTTCCAGATCAGTGATATGAAATATTCATGAAAGAGAAGCAATTAGGACTGGATTTAAATGGACTGCAAAATAAATAAATGCAAATACAGATATAGTACTTATAAAGAGTGTTGTGAACCTACTTTCCCTTGGAGCTGGTCCTTTGAACTGACTTCTAATGGGTAACAAAGCCATGTTCCCAATTAACTTGGTATCGGAGTCCATTAAAGTGGAGTGATAAGCCTATAAACAAAAGAGGAAGTCCGACTGTGAGCAATAAAAAGAAAATAAGTAGTTTTCTCCCTTGAAAGAATAAAATTACACAAATGTCCCCCTCTAAATGATGGATGCACGGTTTGTCCAGTTAACAATGATCCAGCAACCACACCTTGTGGAAGTTCAGTGGTATTTGCTTACCTAGCTAATTAGGCCTTAGTAACATTTGGGGAGGTGGGGGGAGGACGACTCCTACTATGAAACTGCCATAGTCTAACTGGAGGCAATAATGGTGAATGCTATAACATAGAAGAGGTAGAAGTGTGTGCTTCCATCACCAGTTGTCTAACTCAGAGCAGATCTAAATAACTTGATGGCAAATATGTTCAGAACCTTTATCATATCTACTTTTCCGGTGCTTCAACAATGGCAATTAAAAAAAAAAGGTCAGTGTAGATACAGCTTAAGAATCACGTTCTGCTTTGGTGCTTAAATCTTTTCTTGACAATTGCAATATGAGCCAATGTTGTAGAAAGGAGGTTTATTTCAAAATATACATGCACTTAGAATATAAGATAAGTTACTTTAAAACACCAATGTTGATGGGACTTTTCAGTTTCTTTGTTTTGGGTTTTTTAAATATTTTCATATAAAAGTAATTTTCATCTATAATGCTCCTAGTTTATCCAATAAGGGAATATTCTTAATTTTGTAGGGGTTTAGTCAAACTGGAAAGGCCCAGCTGTTCCCTAAGTTAGGTGGTGGGCTCAGCAGGCCTTGAGCAAGGGGCAGTGATCATATAATTCCACTCTATTTCTTTATGATGCTAAGTAAAGCAAGGACAACCGTGTTTTGCAACCTTACCAATGCTGTGTAAAAAAAAAAAAAAAAAAAAAAAAAATCACACAAGATAAACTGAGAAGTTACAACGAAAAGGCCCCACCCTTTCATCTGCCCAGAGCCCCAATTAAATCAACAAAGAGCTGCCCATCTAGTCTAATTGTAAAATCAACAACCAGCTAACTTTGCGTCGACCCGCGCATATGAAGCAAAATCCTTTGTGGGGGACAATATCATGAATAGTGCCGTGCGGTTTGCAGAGGCGCTGACTATTGCCTTAAAAGGAAGTTCCCCCGTTTTGCTGGTAGAGGTGACATTTCCCACTGCAGCAGCTAGTTTCGCTCAGCTTCTTCCTATTTCTGAACAGAGAAAGAAACCCCAGAGCCGTTGTGATGTTTTCTACCCGATCCTTGAAGCCCCCCTGATGGGCTGCGGATTGCAAAACGAGCAGCAGCCAAGGGGCCCAAATGCTCAGCCCCGGGCCTAGCAACCATCCCCCGTAGCATTTCCTGCCCTTCCCAGGCTAGCAGCAGCCACAGTGCTCGCAGGGCAGCGGGCTGCAACCCAAGCACGCGCAAGGAGCCGGGGCCCTGTAGACCCGCAGGGGCTCTTTTCCTTACCGGCATTTTTTGTCGGTGGGGACGGTCGTTTCCCAGGAGGCAGAGAGCGCAGGAAGCCGCCTGAGTCAGCAATGCAGCAGCTTGCAAAGAGCCAGCCCTTCCTGTCCCACCCCAGGCGGCTGCGAGCAGGAAGTCCTGTGCGCGCAGGGCAGGAGCTGGCCAGCAGGGGGCGGCAGAGCGCTAGGAAGGCAGCGGCCGCGGAGCCTCTGCGGGTAGAGCGCTCGCAAGGGTCCCGGCCTCAGCTCCTGGGAGAGGATGTGGCGCGGTTCTTGCTTTCTAAATGCAGTGGGTCCAAGTCCTCCCTGATGTAACAAATGACAAGGCTGCAGATTAGGGATGTTAAATACCAGTTCATTGAATAGCCCAGTAACCTCATGAATTCTTATGGGTTACTTGACTATCCTATAGCCCCTGCCACGCTGCATGCTGCCTGGGTATCGGACACAGCAGCATGGGGTGCCTGGTGGGCGCCGGTTTGTGCGGGAAGCCAGTTTAAAACCCAGCTCCCCTTGAGGGCCTGTGCTGTTGACCTGTGCGCTGCCACCTCTGATAAAGAGGCAGTAGCATGGGGTGGGCAGAAGCCCCCATCTGGGGGTGGTCTGAGCTCCCAGATCATGTGCAAGCCAGAACTGAGCTGGGCTGCCAACCAGCCTGCTAAAATACTTACTGGCAAGTAGGGAGGAGGATGGAATGTGTTTAGTCTATAGCATTAACCTATAAGCTTTTGCTTATAGGTCAATGGGTTAATCAACTACACTTTTACAACCCTACTGCAGATCCCTGATTTCTGTTTGCGCTGCTCAAGAGGGATTTGTTATTGCCAGAGCAGGGGCCTACAAGTCTGGAAATGAACTGAGCCCACAACATAGAGAGTCAAAGCTGGCAACTGCACCAGTGCAAAGCACAGCACTCTGCCTCTCGCTGTGCTTTGCACTGTGCATCTAAGTTGGCTGCTGGGTGCTGATTGCTGAATTCAAAGTATAGGCAAGGTCTGTAGGCGCCAGGCCTGCATTCACTCCACACAGAAACAAGAAGTTCCCCTCAAAATCATTAGATAGGCAAAAAAAAAAAATTTTTTTTCAACTATCATGATTTTTTAGTCAATCTGGGTTTTGAGCCCAGAAGGTTCAGCTTTTCTCCACAGCTCTGGTGGACAGAAACTTAAATTTAAAAATAATGGAAGTTGGGATTCTTGCATAATCAATTGACTCCAGAAGCTGGGATTCTAAGAGAAACACCAAGTATCATGAAACCCATGATAAAAACCTGAGAGCTGGCTCCACTGCAGACACACAAGCCCACTTGTGAGAATCTTAGTGCTCGATCAAGGCCTATAGCCTTGCCCAAATGCTTCATTTTTTCCTAATAGAATCCTACAGGGGAAAGATGCATCCATGGCACTTCCTACTTTACTGAGTAAAGGAATAAATGTGTTTTCTGTAGGATGTACTCACTTCAAACCAATGCAGGAACGGCACATTTTCAGGGTATTGTTCAAGACCAGTTTTTATAGAAAACATTTCAATTTTCTAGCAACCTTTTGTTTCCCTATCTTTATTTGTTCCCATTTGGATCATTCTGTGGGATTCTTATCCTGCTACCAATTACTACCTCCCTCCCCCCCTCCTTTCAAGTGCCTTTCGCCCCCTCCCTGCAATAATATCACCACTTCAGAATATTTGAAAGGAATGCATTCTCGCTGAGACACACAGAATTTATTCCTTAAATACACACCACCATTACCTGTATTTGATATCAACTTAGATGGATTCCTTGCTTGAGAGCAGAGGGGAGTTCAACAACCAGAAAAATGTATTGTTTTATTTTATCATTCCAAGAAGACCCCCCCCACACACAATTTAATTTGCCTTTTCAAAGATATAAAATACAGTCTTTGTCCAAAATGTTTTTGTTGCTCCAAGTTTAACATTGTACAGGTAAGGCATTTGTTCAAAAAATAAAATAAATCTACTTCATGCCTCATCAAAAGTCTCTGTGGGTTTTCTGTGAACAATCATTTTTAAGATTAAAATTTATGAGAACTTTGTCAGGTGTTTACCTGTGATCAGCAGAAAAAGCTTAACCATATTATGAATATAAATATGATGTTGAATTAGATGATCTAATTATCTCCTAAGGAAATTGACAGAAAGCTCATAATTTGAACCATTTAGAACTCGAGAAGTAGATATTAAGACAGTCACAAGACATGATCTAAATGCAATTCTACATTAAATCATTAAACAATTATTTCCGTACCAATGACCATTTATTAAGCATTATTTGAATAATTATGATGTACAGTGTCAATAAATGCATCACTACAAAGAATAAAATTTAATAATACTCTCCTATTAAAAGCTAACATATTCCATAAGCTTATCAGTTAGATCCAAAAATAGACTTGGCATGTGTAACTTGTAATTGACATTTGGGGCCAAATCCTCCAAAAATACGACACGTATCTTTATTCATGAGAAATCAGACGGACTGCTCCCTTATTTATGAAGTTACTCAAGGTTTTAGATGCATATAGGGTTTTATATGTATACAAAAATACCCACAGTTTTTATGATATAAGTTTAATACAAATACCAATGAAATATGAATTCTCTCTCAAAAAAAGTTAGACAGGATACATAGTGGCCTTATTTGATGCCAAATACTTGCTTGAACAATATTTCCTCTGGAGTTAGTTAAATTAGTAGATAGTGTAGTCAACCTTGTATAACTATTGGCAATTCTAATCTAATTTAGAAATGTTTTTCTTTCTTAGGAAGGCATCACTGTGTTTCACAATTTTCATCCACAGAAAAGTTATTTCAAGTAGCACAAGAGGATTTTATTTATTTTTGTCTTGTTCATGGAATCTTAGCTGGAGTAGGCTGCCTGAAAGCACATATCCTTATACTGAATGAAATCCTGCAACTCTTATGCCATGAGTACTCCCACCAAAGTCCACAAGAGTTTTGCTTCCAAGTACTGATTTGATTCTTAGCACATTAAAATAATAAAAGGAGCAATGTTACGGGGTCCGTGAGCCCACCCCGTCCTGGGCAGTCACACTCCCACGGTTGCCGTCCCGGAAGGTCCCAGTCTCGGTGCCGCGGCGCCGGGTCGGCCCTCCCGGTGGTTGCCCCGAGGATCCCGCGAGCGAGGAGGTGAGGGGGGTCCGGGCCCTCCCTCTCTCCAGACCCCAGCCCAGGGCCCTAAGGCGGGGGAGATGCTCTTCTCTCCCCCGACCTGGCTGATGGGGCACAGAGCCGCAACGCATCAACCCTCGGGCTCCAGTACACCCGCCCTGGGCTGCTTCCTCACGCCCTCGCTCGTCCGCTCACCAGCTGGCTGGTCTCGCCGCCTCCTCAGTGTCTCTCAGTCTCTGACTCCAGCGTCCTCCTTCTCCTCCTCCCCTGCTTCTGCCTCTCCTGACTTTATACCTGGGGAAGGTGCCGCCCCGCCCCTCCAGAACACTCACACCTGTGCTCATCCACGGCCCCAGCTTCTCCTCCCCAGCTGTTTCCCCTCCCCCCCAGCGTTCTCTCCCTCTCCTGCAGCTGTGGGGCATAGGGCCGGCTGGGGCGCCCGCGGGGCTGCCCGCCCCGGGGCTGGGGGGGGGCCGGCCCCGCCCGGTTGGCCCCACTAACCTTGCCGGGGGGG